CCCGAAACCTACCTGATGTTCTCCAAACCCAAAGGCCACTCCCAACCACCAGAAAACCCATTAGGAACTCAACAAAACGAACGAACGGAAACCCCAAAACACGTCAAAAACACCCCAAAAGCGAACCGGATCAGAAGAAAAAACATGATTTTTAACACCCAAAAAAACCTTAAACCTACCTGATGTTTCCTAAATTAACAATCCACTCCCAACCAACAGAAAACCAATGGAAACCCAACGAAACCAACGGACACCCCAAAACACGTCAAAAAACACCCAAAAAAAGAACTAGACGTGAAAAAAAGAAAAAAGCACAAACCATGAATTTCCCCCCCAAACCACCCTAAACTCACCTGATCTTCTCCAAATCCCACAATCCACTACCATTTACCTTTAAAACCAACGAGAGAACCCAACGAAACCCAATGGAGACCCCAAAACAACTCTAAACCACTCCAAAATCAACCCAGGACAAAAAAAAAAAAAAACAAAATGCCATGATTTCACCCCAAAAAGCCCTAAAACCTACCTGATGTTCTCCAAAACCCACAATCCACTCCTATTTAACATACTGACCAACAAGAACCCAACAAAACCCAACGGACACCCCAAAAACACGTCAAAAACACCCCAAACAAGAATGGCATCACCCCCAAAAACTGCAAGAAAGACCCCCAAAACCAAAGATCCACACCAAAACCACACTAAACATACCTGATGTTCTCCAAAACCCACAATTTACCCTTTTACACCATGATGACCACGGAAAACCCAACGAAATCCAGAGGAGACCTCAAAACACGTCAAAAAAAACACCTAACAAAAAGTGGATCACCCCAAAAACGAAAGAAAACCCCCAAAACCATAGGTCAACACAAAACCACCCTAAACCTCCTGATGTTCTCCAAAACCCACAATTTACCCTTTTCCACCATGATGACCAGGAAACACAACGAAATCCAACGGAGACCCCAAAACACTTCAAAAACACCCCAAAAGCGAACCGGATCAGAAGAAAAAACATGATTTAACGCCCAAAATAACCTTAAACCTACCTGATGTTCTCCTAAATGTACAATCCACTCCCAACCACCAGAAAACCCAATGGAAACCCAACGAAACCCAACGGACACCCCAAAACACGTCAAAAACACTCCAAAGAAGAACTAAAGTGAAGAAAAAAAAGCAACAAAAACATGAATTTCCCCCAAAACCACCCTAAACTCACCTGATCTTCTCCAAATCCCACATTTCACTCCCATTCACTATAATGACCACTAAGAACCTTACTAAACACAATGAAGACCCCAAAACACCTCAAAACCATCCCCAAATAACCCAGACCTGCAAAAAATAACAAAATGCCATGATTTCAACCCAAAAAGCCCTAAAACCTACCTGATGTTCTCCAAAACCCACAATCCACTCCTAGTTAACATACTGACCAACAAGAACCCAACAAAACCCAACGGAGACCTCAAAACACGTCAAAAACACCCCTAACAAGAAGTGGACCACCCCCAAAAACAGAAGAAAAACCTCAAAAACCAGATAGACCCCAAAAGTCCCCCTAAACTACTTGAAGTTCTCCAAAACCCACAATTTAACCTTTTCCACCATGATGACCAAGGAAAACACAACAAAACCCAAGGGAGACCCCAAAACACATTAAAAACACCCCTAACAAAAAGTGGATCACCCCCAAAAACGAAAGAAAACCCCCAAAACCATAGGTCAACACCAAAACCACCTAAACCTACCTGATGTTCTCCAAAACCCACAATTTACTCTTTTCCACCTAATGACCACGGAAAACACAACGAAATCCAACGGAGACAGCAAAACACGTCAAAAACACCCCTCCAAAAAAAGGCATCACCAACAAAACTGGAAGAAAATTCCCCAAAACCATACATCCATTCCAAAACCACCCGAAACCTACCTGATGTTCTCCCAATCCCAAAGGCCACTCCTAACCACCAGAAAACCCATTAGGAACTCAACAAAACGCAACGGAAACTCCAAAACACGTCAAAAACACCCCAAAAGCGAACCGGATCAGAAGAAAAAACATAATTTAACGCCCAAAATAACCTTAAACCTACCTGATGGTCTCCTAAATGTACAATCCACTCCCAACCACCAGAAAAACCAAGGGAAACCCAACGAAACCCAACGGACACCCCAAAACACGTCAAAAACACCCCAAAAAAGAACTAGGCGTGAAGAAAAGAAAAAAGCACAAACCATGAATTTCCCCCCAAAACCACCCTAAACTCACCTGATCTTCTCCAAATCCCACAATCCACTACCATTTACCTTTACAACCAACGAGAACCCAAGGAAACCCAATGGAGACCCCAAAACACGTCAAAAACACCCCAAACAAGAACAGGATCACCCCAAAAAAAGGAAGAAAACCCCAAATACCATGAATCCACCCCAAAAGTCCCCCTAAACCTACCTGAAGTTCTCCAAAACCCACAATTTACCCTTTTCCACCATGATGACCACGGAAAACACAAAGAAATCCAAAGGAGACCCCAAAACACGTCAAAAACACCCCTAACAAGAAGTGGATCACCCAAAACGAAAGAAAGGAAACCCCCAAAACCATAGGTCAACACCAAAACCACCCTAAACCTACCTGATGTTCTCCAAAACCCACAATTTACCCTTTTCCACCATGATGACCACGGAAACACAACGAAATCCAACGGAGACCCCAAAACACGTCAAAAACACCCCCCAAAAAAGGCATCACCAACAAAACTGGAAGAAAATTCCCCAAAACCATAGATCCATTCCAAAACCACCCGAAACCTACATGATGTTCTCCAAATCCCAAAGGCCACTCCCAACCACCAGAAATCCAAGGGAAACCCAATGAAAACCAACGGACACCCCAAAACACGTCAAAAACACTCCAAAAAAGAACTAGACGTGAAGAAAAAAAAAAAAAAAAACAAACAAAAACAAAAACCATGAATATCCCCCCAAACCCACCCTAAACTCACCTGATCTTCTCCAAATCCACATCACTCCCATTCACCATAATGACCAACAATAACCTTAATAAACCAAATAAGACCCCAAAACACTCTAAAAACCACCCAAATAACCCAGATCTGCAAAAAAAACAAAATGCCATGATTTCACCCCAAAAAGCCCTAAAACCTACCTGATGTTCTCCAAAACCCACAATCCACTCCTATTTAACATACTGACCAACAAGAACCCAACAAAACCCAACGGACACCCCAAAACACGTCAAAAACACCCCAAACAAGAATGGGATCACCCCCAAAAACTGGAAGAAAACCCCAAAACCAAAGATCCACACCAAAACCACACTAAACCTACCTGATGTTCTCCAAAACCCACAATTTACTTTTTCCACCATGATGACCACGGAAAACACAACGAACCAAAAGGAGACCCAAAACACGTCAAAAACACCACTAACAAGAATGGGATCACCCCAAAAACGAAAGAAAACCCCCAAAACCAAAGGTCAACACCAAAACCACCCGAAACCTACCTGATGTTCTCCAAATCCCAAAGGCCACTCCCAACCACCAGAAAACCCATTAGGAACTCAACAAAACGCAACGGAAACCCCAAAACACGTCAAAAACACCCCAAAAGCGAACCGGATCAGAAGAAAAACATGATTTAACACCCAAAATAACCTTAAAACAAACTACCTGATGTTCTCCTAAATGTACAATCCACTCCCAACCACCAGAAGAAAACCAATGGAAACCCAACGAAACCCAACGGACACCCCAAAACACGTCAAAAACACCCCAAAAAAAGAACTAGGCGTAAAAAAAAAAAAAAAAAAAAAACAAAACAAAAACAAAAACATGAATATCCCCCCAAACCACCCTAAACTCACCTGATCTTCTCCAAATCCACATTTCACTCCCATTCACATAATGACCAACAAAACCATTACTAAACCAAATAAGACCCAAAACACCTCAAAACACCCCCAAATAACCCAGATCTGCAAAAAAAACAAAATGCCATGATTTCACCCCAAAAAGCCCTAAAACCTACCTGATGTTCTCCAAAACCCACAATCCACTCCTATTTAACATACTGACCAACAAGAACCCAACAAAACCCAACGGACACCCCAAAACACGTCAAAAACACCCCAAACAAAAAGGATCACCCCCAAAAAGGAAGAAAACCCCAAATCATGAATCCCCCAAAACCCCCTAAACTACCTGATGTTCTCCAAAACCCACAATTTACCTTTCACCATGATGACCAAAAAACCAACAAAACAAAGAGACCCAAAACACGTCAAAAACACCCCAAAAAAGAACGGGATCACCCCAAAAACGAAAAAAACCAAAACCATAGGTCAACACCAAAACCACCCTAAACCTACCTGATGTTCTCCAAAACCCACAATTTACCCTTTTCCACCATGATGACCACGGAAAACACAACGAAATCCAACGGAGACCCCAAAACACATCAAAAACAACCCCCCAAAAAAAGGCATCACCAACAAAACTGGAAGAAAATTCTCCAAAACCATAGATCCATTCCAAAACCACCCGAAACCTACCTGATGTTCTCCAAATCCCAAAGGCCACTCCCAACCACCAGAAAACCCATTAGGAACTCAACAAAACGCAACGGAAACCCCAAAACACGTCAAAAACACCCCAAAAGCGAACCGGATCAGAAGAAAAAACATGATTTAACACCCAAAAAAACCTTAAACCTACCTGATGTTCTCCTAAATGTACAATCCACTCCCAACCACCAGAAAACCCAATGGAAACCCAACGAAACCCAACGGACACCCCAAAACACGTCAAAAACACCCCAAAAAAGAACTAGACGTGAAAAAAAAAAAAAAGCACAAACCATGAATTTCCCCCCAAAACCACCCTAAACTCACCTGATCTTCTCCAAATCCCACAATCCACTACCATTTACCTTTACAACCAACGAGAACCCAACGAAACCCAATGGAGACCACAAAACAGCACTAAACCACCCCCAAATCAACCCAGGTCAGCAAAAAAAAAAAAAACAAAATGCCATGATTTCACCCCAAAAAGCCCTAAAACCTACCTGATGTTCTCCAAAACCCACAATCCACTCCTATTTAACATACTGACCAACAAGAACCCAACAAAACCCAACGGACACCCCAAAACACGTCAAAAACACCCCAAACAAGAATGGGATCACCCCCAAAAACTGCAAGAAAGACCCCCAAAACCAAAGATCCACACCAAAACCACACTAAACATACCTGATGTTCTCCAAAACCCACAATTTACACTTTTCCACCATGATGACCACGGAAAACCCAACGAAATCCAGAGGAGACCTCAAAACACGTCAAAAAAACCCTAACAAAAAGTGGATCACCCCAAAAACGAAAGAAAACCCCCAAAACCATAGGTCAACACCAAAACCACCCTAAACCTACCTGATGTTCTCCAAAACCCACAATTTACCCTTTTCCACCATGATGACCACGGAAAACACAACGAAATCCAACGGAGACCCCAAAACACGTCAAAAACACCCCAAAAGCGAACCGGATCAGAAGAAAAAACATGATTACCCCAAAATAACCTTAAACCTACCTGATGTTCTCCTAAATGACAATCCACTCCCAACCACCAGAAAACCAATGGAAACCCAACGAAACCCAACGGACACCCCAAAACACGTCAAAAACACTCCAAAGAAGAACTAAATGTGAAGAAAATAAAAGCAAAAAACATGAATTTCCCCCCAAAACCACCCTAAACTCACCTGATCTTCTCCAAATCCCACATTTCACTCCCATTCACCATAATGACCACTAAGAACCTTACGAAACAAATGAAGACCCCAAAACACCTCAAAACCACCCAAATAACCCAGACACCAAAAAATAAACAAAATGCCATGATTTCACCCAAAAAGCCCTAAAATCTACCTGATGTTCTCCAAAACCCACAATCCACTCCTATTTAACATACTGACCAACAAGAACCCAACAAAACCCAACGGAGACCTCAAAACACGTCAAAAACACCCCTAACAAGAAGTGGACCACCCCCAAAAACAGAAGAAAACCCCAAATACCATGAATACACCCCAAAAGTCCCCCTAAACCTACTTGAAGTTCTCCAAAACCCACAATTTACCTTTTCCACCATGATGACCAAGGAAAACACAACAAAACCAACGGAGACCCCAAAACACGTCAAAAACACCCCTAACAAAAAGTGGATCACCCCAAAAACGAAAGAAAAACCCCAAAACCATAGGTCAACACCAAAACCACCTAAACCTACCTGATGTTCTCCAAAACCCACAATTTACCCTTTTCCACCATGATGACCACGGAAAACACAACGAAATCCAACGGAGACAGCAAAACACGTCAAAAACACCCCCCCAAAAAAAGGCATCACCAACAAAACTGGAAGAAAATTCCCCAAAACCATAGATCCATTCCAAAACCACCCGAAACCTACCTGATGTTCTCCAAATCCCAAAGGCCACTCCCAACCACCAGAAAACCCATTAGGAACTCAACAAAACGCAACGGAAACCCCAAAACACGTCAAAAACACCCCAAAAGCGAACCGGATCAGAAGAAAAAACATGATTTAACGCCCAAAATAACCTTAAACCTACCTGATGTTCTCCTAAATGTACAATCCACTCCAACCACCAGAAAAACCAATGGAAACCCAACGAAACCCAACGGACACCCCAAAACACGTCAAAAACACCCCAAAAAAGAACTAGACGTGAAGAAAAGAAAAAAGCAAAAAACATGAATTTCCCCCCAAAACCACCCTAAACTCACCTGATCTTCTCCAAATCCCACATTTCACTCCCATTCACCATAATGACCAACAAGAACCTTACTAAACCCAATGAAGACCCCAAAACACCTCAAAACCACCCCCAAATAACCCAGATCTGCAAAAAATAACAAAATGCCATGATTTCACCCCAAAAAGCCCTAAAATCTACCTGATGTTCTCTAAAACCCACAATCCACTCCTATTTAACATACTGACCAACAAGAACCCAACAAAACCCAACGGAGACCCCAAAACACGTCAAAAACACCCCAAACAAGAATGGGATCACCCCCAAAAACTGGAAGAAAGACCCCCAAAACCATAGATCCACACCAAAACCACACTAAACATACCTGATGTTCTCCAAAACCCACAATTTACCCTTTTCCACCATGATGACCACGGAAAACCCAACGAAACAAAATGGAGACCCCAAAACACGTCAAAAACACCCCAAACAAGAACAGGATCACCCCAAAAAAACAGAAGAAAACCCCAAATACCATGAATACACCCCAAAAGTCCCCCTAAACCTACCTGAAGTTCTCCAAAACCCACAATTTACCCTTTTCCACCATGATGACCACGGAAAACCCAACGAAATCCAACGGAGACCCCAAAACACGTCAAAAACACCCCAAAAGCGAACCGGATCAGAAGAAAAAACATGATTTAACCCCCCAAAATAACCTTAAACCTACCTGATGTTCTCCTAAATGTACAATCCACTCCCAACCACCAGAAAAACCAATGGAAACCCAACGAAACCCAACGGACACCCCAAAACACGTCAAAAACACCCCAAAAAAGAACTAGACGTGAAGAAAAAAAAAAGCAAAAAACATGAATTTCCCCCCAAAACCACCCTAAACTCACCTGATCTTCTCCAAATCCCACATTTCACTCCCATTCACCATAATGACGAACAAGAACCAAACTAAACCCAATGGAGACACCAAAACACGTCAAAAACACCCCCAAATCAACCCAGAACAACAAAAAAAAAAAAACAAAATGCCATGATTTCACCCCAAAAAGCCCTAAAATCTACCTGATGTTCTCTAAAACCCACAATCCACTCCTATTTAACATACTGACCAACAAGAACCCAACAAAACCCAACGGAGACCCCAAAACACGTCAAAAACACCCCAAACAAGAACAGGATCACCCCCCAAAAAAAACAGAAGAAAACCCCAAATACCATGAATCCACCCCAAAATTCCCCCTAAACCTACCTGATGTTCTCCAAAATTCACAATCCACTCCCATCCTCTACAAAACCAAATGGAAACCCAACGAAACCCAACAAAGTCCCCAAAGCACCTCAAAACCGCCCCAAAATCTACCCTGATCCTCAAAAAAAAAAAAACAAAAAGGGGGATTTCACCCCAAAAGAGCCCCCCAACAGCATGTGCTCGGCCAGCAAACCCTCGTCATGGGCCATGCGGGAGGCGATGCGCAGATAAAGAACGGGATCCGAAGAAAAAATATAAACAAAAAAGCATGAATCCACCCCAAAACCACCTCCAAATCAACCCAGATCCTCAAAAAAAAAACAAAACCCCCTGATTTCACCCCAAAAGAGCCCCCCACCAGCATGTGCTCGGCCAGCCAGCCCTCATCGCGGGCCATGCAGGAGGCCATGAGCAGGGTGAAGCACTTCTTGCCCAGCAGCGAGTTGCCCCTGTAGCCGCTTCCGAAGGACGCGATGCGGTGCTTGGCGGAGACGTGGGCCTCCAGGGTGCCCTCGGGGTCGCAGGCCACCCGTTCACCAGGGGCTCAGTGAAAAAAAATAACATTTTTTGGGGTGAATTTAAGGGTTTTGGGGGGTTTTGGGTTTTTTTTGGCTTTTTTTTGGCTTTTTTTGGCAAGCTACTTGCTTGCTTTGGGTATTTCTTGGGTGTTTTTGCATCGTCTTGGGCATTTCTTGGGCATTTTTTGGGCGATTTTGCGTGTTTTGGGGCATTTCTTGAGCGCTTTTGTGTGGTTTTGGGTGTTTCTTGGGCGTTTCTTGGGTGTTTTGCGTGGTTTTGGGCATTTTTGCGATTTTTTGCGTGTTTTGGGGATTTTCTTGGGTGTTTTTGCATGTTTTTGGGCGTTTCTTGGGTCTTTTTGTGCATTTTGGGGCGTTTCCTGAGCATTTTTGCATGTTTTGGGGCATTTCTTGAGCGTTTTTCATGTTTTTGGGCGTTTCTTGGGCTTTTTTGCGTATTTTTGGGTGCGTTTTTGCATGTGTTTTGGTGTTTTGGGGTGTTTTTTGGCATTTCTTGGGCTTTTTTGCACGTTTCTTGGACGTTTTTGTGCTTTTCTTGGGTGTTTTTGGGCATTTCTTGGGCGTTTCTGCACATTTTGGGGCGTTTTTGCATGTTTATTGGGCGTTTCATGGGTGTTTTGGGGCGTTTCTTGGGCGTTTTTGAGCATTTATGGCTATTTTTGGGGCGTCTGCGCGTTTTTGGGCATTTCTTGGGTGTTTTTGGGCGTTTTTGGGCATTGCTTGGGCGTTTTTGCATGTTTTTGCACGTTTCTTGGGCAGTTTTGCACGTTTCTTTGGCGTTTCTTGGGTGTTTTTTTCTGTTTTGGGGTATTCTGGGGGCATTTTGTGGGTTTTTGGGCTCACCTCGCAGCGGCAGAGGCCGGCCGACGGAATGGAGACAGTGGACGAAGTCCCCGGTGGCCAGCGAGGGGAAGATCTGGTGGTCCACGCGGGTCATGATGCGCATGGAGGCCATGACGTAGGGCGAGTCGGTGAGCTGCACGCCCACCTTGGCCAGGGGTGATGAGGGGGGGGCCCATGCTGAAGGGGATGATGTACATGGTGCGGCCTGGGGGACCCCAAAAAAAGGGTTGGAGACCCCAAAAAGGAGACCCCAAAAAGGGTTGGAGACCCCAAAGAATGGTTGAAGACCCCAAATAGGGTGAGGAAGGAGACCCTAAAAAGGAGACCCCAAAAAGGATGAGGAAGACCCCCAAAAAAAGTTGGAGAAGAAGACCCCAAAAAAGGTTGAGTTGAAGACCCCAAAAAGGGTTGGAGAAGACCCCAAAAAGGGTGAGGAAGGAGACCCTAAAAAAAAGTTGAAGAAGACGACCCCAAAGAGGTTGAGGAAGGAGACCCTAAAAACAGTTGAAGAAGACCCCCAACAAAGGGTTGAGGAAGGAGACGTGAAGACCCCAAAAAGGGTGAGGAAGACCCCAAAAAGGGTTGGAGACCCCAAAGAAGGTTGGAGAAGACCCCAAAAAGGAGAGCCCAAAAAGGTTGAAGACAACCCCAAAAAAAGGTTGTAAAAATGAGATGTGGAGACCCCAAAAAGGGTTAAGAAAGACCCCAAAAAAGGTTGGAGAAGACCCCAAAAAGGGTGAGGAAGGAGACCCTAAAAAGGAGACCCCTAAAAGGGTGAAGAAGACTCCAAAAAAAGGTTGAGAAAGGAGGAGATGTGGAGACCCCTAAAAAACATTGAATTGAAGGCATGGAGGCCCCAAAAAGATTGAGGGAGGAGACCCCAAAAAGAAGACCCCAAAAAGGGTTTGAGACCCTAAAATGGGTGAGGAAGACCCCAAAAAAGGTTGGAGAAGACCCCAAAAAAAAGGTTGAAGAAGAAGACCCCAAAAAGGGTTGAGGAAGGAGACATGAAGACCCCAAAAAGGGTGAGGAAGACCCCAAAAAGGGTTGGAGAAGACCCCAAAAAAGGATGAAGAAGACCCCAAAAAAGGTTGAGAGAGGAGACATGAAGACCCCAAAACGGGTTGGAGACCCCATAAAAGGTTAGAGAAGACCCCAAAGAAGGTTGAGTTGAAGACCCCAAAAAGGGTGAGGAAGACCCCAAAAAGGGCTAAGGGAGAAGAAATTGAGACCCCAAAAAGGGGTTGAGGAAGGAGAAAATGTGAAGATCCCAAAAAGGGTGAGTGAGACCCCAAAAAAGGTTGGAGAAGACCCCAAAAAGGAGAGCTCAAAAAAGGTTGAAGAAGACCCCAAAAAAGGATGAAGAAGAGACCCCAAAAAGGAGAGCCTAAAAAGGGTTGAAGAAGAAAACCCCAAAAACGGTTGAGTTGAAGGAGGAGACCTCAAAAAAAAGGTTGAAGAAGACCCTAAAAAAGGGTTGACGGAGAAGACCCCAAAAAAGGTTGAATAAGGAGATGTGGAGAACCCAAAAAGATTTGAGGAAGACCCCAAAAAGGTTGAGGAAGAAAGAATCCTTTTATAGGATTTTGCCCCCTTTTGTATAGGATTTTGCCCCCTTTTTATAGGATTTCTTCCCCGCTCTTTTAGGATTTCTCCCTTCCCTTATAGGATTCCCCTCCCCTTTTTTATAGGATTTTTCCCCCTTCCTTTATAGGATTTCCCCCTTCTTTACAGGATTTCCCCCTTTTCTATAGGATTTCTCCCTATTTTTATAGGATTTTCACTCTCCTTATAGGATTCTCCCCCTCCCTTATAGGATTTCTCCCCTTTTTATAGGATTTTCACCCTTTTTATAGGATTTCTCCACCTTTTTTTATAGGATTTACCCCCTTTTCATAGGATTTTTTCCTTTTTCTATAGGATTTCCCCCTTTTTTATGGGATTTTTTTCCCGTTTTTTTAGGACTTTCTCCCTCCCCATCTTTTTAGGATTTCCCCCCCCCTTTTCATAGGATTTCTCCCCGTTTTGGGGTCTGACCTTCCATGCAGCCCGGGAAGCGCTACTGTAGGGCCTGCTCCAGCTGCTGGGGGCTCATCCAGTTGGGTTCCCCCCTTTTTATAGGATTTGTCCCCATTTTTATAGGATTTTCCCCTTCCTTTATAGGATTTCTCCTCCTTCTTTATAGGATTTTCCCCCTTTTTATAGAATTTCCCCCTCCCCTTCCTTTATAGGGCTCTCCCACCCTCCTTTATAGGATTTTCCCCCTTTTCGATAGGATTTCTCCCTTTTTAATAGGATTTTTTCCTGTTTCTTCTAGGACGTTCTCTCTCCCATTTTTTTTTACGATTTTTCATCCATTTTTATAGGATTTTTCCCCATTTTTATAGGATTTTTCCCCCTACCTTTATAGGATTTCCCCCTTTTTTATAGGATTTGTCCCCTTTTTATAGGATTTGCCCCTTTTTTATAGGATTTCTCTCCCCTCCCTTATAGAATTTCCCTTCCCTTATAGGATTTCCCCATTTTTATAGGATTTTTCCCCCTTTCTTTATAGGATTTCCCTGGTTTTTATAGGATTTACCCCCTTTTTTGTAGGATTTCCCCCTTTTTTTTTTAGGATTTCCCCCTTTTCAATAGGATTTCTCCCCTTTTCTGTAGGATTTCCCCCTTTTTTTTTGTAGGATTTGTCCCCTTTTCTATGGGATTTTTTTCCCGTTTCTTTTAGGACTTTCTCCCTCCCCATTTTTATAGGATTTCTCCCCGTTTTGGGGTCTGACCTTCCATGCAGCCCGGGAAGCGCTGCTGTAGGGCCTGCTCCAGCTGCTGGGGGCTCATCCAGTTGCCCAGCTGCGGGGTCCCGTTTTGGGATCGGGGGGGCACGGCATCCCGCTCCCACTCCGTCACCAGCACCGTGCGGCTCTCCACCCACGCCACATCCCAGGGGTCCGTGCGGGCCAGCCAGCTGTGGGACGGGACACAAAAACCCCAAATCAGACCCCAAAATCCCAAATCAGGGCCCCAAAACCCAAATGGGAACCTGAAAACCCCAAAACCCTAAAGGGAAACCCAAAACCCTAAAGGGAAACCCAAAAACCCCAAAGGGAACCCAAAGACCCCAAAGGGAACCCAAAACCCCAAAGCAGGGCCCAAAAACCCAAATGGGAACCCAAAAACCCCAAATGGGAACCTGAAACCCCAAAACCCTAAAGGGAACCCAAAGACCCCAAATGGGACCCCAAACCCCCAAATGGGAACCCAAAACCCAAATGGGAACCCAAAAACCCTAAAGGGAATCCAAAGGCCCCAAAGGGAACCCTAAAACCCAAATCAGGACCCAAAAACCCCAAAACCCTAAAGGGAATCCAAAAAACCTAAAGGGAACCCGAAGACCCCAAACACCAAAAGGGACCCCAAAGACCCCAAATCAGGCCCAAATCCCAAAAGGGACCCCAAAAACCCCAAATCCCAAAAGGGACCCCAAAACCCCAAATCAGGCCCCAAAACCCAAATGAGACCCCAAAGACCCCAACGAGGAACATAAACCCAAAGGGGAGCCCGACCCCAAAAGGAGACCCCAATTTTTATAGGATCACCCCCAAACTTTATAGGATTGCCCCCAAATTTTCATAGGATTTCCCTCAAACGTTTATGGGATTGTACCCAAAATTTTATAGGATTGTCCCCAAAACTTTATAGGATTTCTCCCAAACATTTATAGGATCACCCCCAAACTTTTATAGGATCTTCCCCCAATTTTCATAGGATCGTCCCCAAATTTCCTAATTTCTTCCCCCAAAATTTGTAAGATCACCCCCAAATATTTATAGGATTTCCCCCAAACCTTAAGGGATCATCCTCCAATTTTTGTAAGATCGTTACCAAAATTTTATAGGATTTTCCCCCAAACTTTATAGGATTTTCCCCCAATTCTTATAGGATCGCCCGCAAACTTTTATAGTATTTCCCCCAAAACTTTATAGGATTTCTCCCAAACTTTTATAGGATTTTCCCCAAACCTTTATAGGATCATCCCCCAATTTTTGTAGGATCGCTCCCAAACCTTTATAGGATTTCTCCCAAACTTCATAGAATCATCCCCAAAATTTTATAGGATTTTCCCTAAACTTTTATAGGATCTTCCCCAAACCTTTATAGGATTTCCCCTAAATTTTTATAGGATCTTCTCCAGATCATTTATAGGGTTTCCCCAATATATTATAGGATCTTCCCCAAACTTTATAGAAGTTTCTCCCAATTCTTATAAGATTGCCCCAAAAACTTGATGGGATCTTCCCCTAAACTTCATAGGATTTCTCCCAAACCTTTACAGAATCATCCCCAAACTTTAATAGGATTTCCCCCTAATTTTTATAGGATCTTCCCCAAATTTTTATAAGATTTTCCCCCAATTTCTGTAGGATCTTCCCCCAAACTTTATAGGATTTCCCCAATATTTTATAGGATCTTCCCCAAAACTTCATAATATCTCGCCCAAACTTCGTCAGACTTCCCCCAAACCTCCCCGTGCCATCTTTCCCAAATTCCCCCGGATTTTCCCCAAATTTCAGCCTCAAAACTCACCAGTTCTCATACTTGGGGAGGGGCAGCAGTGTCCCGTCCTCCTGCAGCCCCCTGAGCAGCTCCCTTCCCTCCTTCTCGGAGACGTCGCAGAGCCGCAGGGCCCGGGGCTGGCACAGCCTCGCCCCCTCCTCCACGAAAGCGTGTGCCGGGGGCGGCAGCGCTGCCAGGGCCCCCCCGTGCAGCCCCCGCCAGGCATTTTGGGGTGAAAAAGAGAGGAACTGGGGCAAAGGGAGAAAGGATCGAGCCCCTGGGGGTTGCGCAAGGCCTCGCTGTGGCCTTTGGTCCTTGGGATGGTATTTATCTTCCTTCAGCAAAGGCAAAGCTTATGGCACTTGTTGGTGTGTATTTCCAGACCCCCAGCTACTGGCACTGTAGTGCATCTCTAATTCTTTGGTACAAAAGGTTCAAAATCTCTTAATGCAAAAATTTTACCAGCACCTTGGAGAAAAAAAAAAAAAATCTAAAAATCTTACCAACTTCTATTACAGACCTGCTGAGTGCACCAGAGTTACTCATTTTTATTCAGGCTTTCAGGGGCAACTTCAGTTGGTTTAGCGCTTGGATTGCTATGTTAGCAGATGTCAGTTTAAAAAAAAAGAAAAAGCTTTTGAGGTCCTTTTTAAAATGAGACTGCTTTTTTGGAATTTAGGGCTGCAAGGTATCCTTGGTTTTGCTTTCTTTCCATTCCTTAGACCATATCCATTCAGATTCTGAACAGCGTTCCCGGTCTGTTCAGGAAAATGGAAGGCAACAAGCAAAATGATGAGCTCCTTGGGCAGTCAAAAGAGCTAAATCTGGAGAGTGTTTTGAGTCAAACTTCCATGCTAAGGAGCACCAGTAATTGTTAGAAGTAGATGCAGAGGAACCTGCCTGGCACTGGGTGTGTTTCTGAAGGTGTTAAAGGTCCGAAGTGACGATTCCTATCCATACTAAAGAAGAGAAGGAAACCTTGCACTTAACTACTGTTTTTATTCCCTTTGTCCAGCCGTCAAAAGCAGTAACTAATATGAGAACCCAACTTTTCCTCTCTTTATTTTAGATTTGGGAAAATTCCCTGCCAAAAAAGTATTTCCTGGAAAATTCACTAGTGTTTGTGTGAGTAAAAGGTTCCAACCTTTTGTTATTAATTTGTAAGAACTATTTTCATCCACTTTTGTCCAGAAGAGTCAGAAATAATTTGCACAGAAATGTGCAGCGTTTTAATGAAAGGATTCAGAATCACTTTAATTTGAACTTTATCTGGTCTGGTTGCAGGTTTTGTGACATTTAGTGTCTTTAAAAAAAAAAATCAAAATTTCTGACTTCATATCAGAAAAAAGAAAAAAAAATGCTTGTGGCTAAATAAAATCTGTTGCAGCTCTGTTCATCAAAAAATCATTGGCTGTTAAATTGGACCTAAGTCGTCTTCTCTAACCTTTCATGATCCTGCAGCAGTGGATGATGATGGATATATGGATTAGGGAACAGCACGTGATGGCAAACCTGTGGTATTTGCTACAGCGCAGAAAGAAAAACCAAATTGCTTCCAAAAAATCCAACTAATTCAAAATCCTTGGTATCATGCAGCCATGCCACTGGCAAAGTGAGCATTCCCCTGCCTCTCAAAGCTTGCTGTACCCTTGATCTGCTGTCTTCCTGCTGTTAATCGATTGCAACTCTACGTGTCTGATCAGGGCTACGAGTTGTTCTCGATATGGAGATAATACAACATATACTGTGCACGCTTGTGTGTATAGATATGTTTATCCTGTATGCATGTACATACGTCTGCATATTTGTGTGCTGGCCCCCAGATCACTCATGTTACAAAGCATTGGCCTCGAAGGCATACTCATCAAAATCTTTTGTAGAGCCTCCATTTTTTTCTAGTTCCCTCAAAATGAGAGAATTTTTACACGCTCTCTGTGTCAAAAAGGCAAAAATTCTGAGTTTCACTGTCGCTCTTGCTAACTTTCTCTCATTCCCTCCTTGTGTGTGTATAAACACAGATGTGTGTATGCGTATGCACATCTGTGGATTTATACGCACTGGTATGTTTTTTGCTGTACAGGTAATAAAGACGGGGAAAGGTTTTTGTGTTTTCTTAATAGGTGAAGAAATCTTGAAGACCAGAGATTGGAACATACTGAATTTTAAATTAAAAAAAAAAAAAAAAAAAGAAAAAAAAGTTAAATTGTCCGGCTGTGGAAGATGGAGCCTCATTTTTGCAGCCACTTTGAATCACGAGTTCATCTCTAAATGCGCTGGGTTTTTTGTTTTTGTTTTGTTTTGTTTTGTTGGTTTTTATTTTTTTGAAGAGCTAACTAACCCTGGCTGCCTCCAGTCTGAGAGAGCGTTCAAATGGACTTGCTTCCTCTATTAGTTATAAGCTGTTTAAAAGCGCATCCTATGTTTGAATTGTGGATGAGAAGTTCCCTTGGCAAAGTGAGGAGGAAAATTCTTCCTACCCCTTTATTATTAATTCACGGATTCAGTCTTGGTTTGGCCTACAGGAGAAGTTAACTGGAAGTCTTTGAAGATCGATAACTTTGCTGAGGTTGTCCAGGTAGGTGAAATCAAAGACCCACAGTGCCTGGAACGTGCTGTTTAATGCGTCCTAACTGTGTTCTAGAGAAGTTATTTGTAGCTATAGTTGATTATTGACTTGCATGTATCATCAGGTGTTTTTTTAAGGAGTGACTCCGTTTTCAGGCTTCCAGACGTGCTCCAAGTCATATTATTGAGGATGTGGAAGAGAACACTTGCTGACAAAGCTTCTGGCAGCTTTACAGAACTTTAATATTTAGTTAGTTCATGTAACAGCTGATTTCAAGGCTTTGCTCTCTTCGAGAGACTGATAACTTGATTTGATTAACTGAAGAAAGCTGGAAAAATATTCGTTCCTCATTATTTTTCACTTGTTACTTTCTTTAGGGTTACTTTTAAAAAGAAGATTTCACTGATCACAAGCCAGTAGAAGACTTTCAGCCCAAGCAAGGGTGAAGACAGCTCTCTCCAAGAGCAGAGGAAGTCCCTGTGGAGAGAACCCGAGCTTGTTACCAGAACTCGTCGGCATGTCTAAACAAGGAGACGATTGCTACTTCTATTTCTATTCTACCTGTACCAAGGTATGGCTGGCTTTCCTTTGCTTTGCTTTTTTTTTCCCATTTTTTTCAGGAAGGAGTAGATTAGGAGGAGGAAGCACACTGGTCTTTGGTTAACTTGAGAACCAGATAGATTCTGAATTCAGTTGTAACAACATTAGGCAGCAGCATGGCCATTTTTGAGGCTGTACTATATTTTCCTTGTTGGTTTCCTTTTGGTTCCAGGGAGACAAATGTGCCTACCGCCACTGCAAAGCTGCTCTGGGCAATGAGACGGTCTGCAAGCTGTGGCAGGAGGGTCGTTGTTTCAGGAATGTCTGCCGATTCAAACACATGGAAATTGACGTGAGTGCCTAACGATGTGTTCTCAAAATAAATCAACAAAAATATTTTTCAGTGCCGTAGGTGTACTGATTGTGCTTTTGCAGGATAGATTTGTTTGCTTCAAAATCATACTGGTTTCTGTTACCAAGAGACGGGGTGGGAGGAAGCAGAGGAAAATAAAATCAATGCCTTAGGTATGTCTTAGCAAGATATGTATTTTTTTTGAATTAGATGCTGACAGTTTTCTCAACAGATGCAGAATAGCTGTTAAATAGACTGCTAAAACGTGCTGGAGCAGGGGGGTAATAAACAGGCTGTTCTATCCTCATGGGAGCAGGCTTGATAATGAACTATCAGGTCTCTTCTGACCCACAGTCCTTCAGATAATGCTGTTCTAGCTGCCTGGGGTAGGAAGTGGGGAAAGTTAAAGGTGCAGAAGAACTAAGTCTCCAAGAAGTAGTTCTAGACAGGGTTAACCTAGGCAATTTCAGATGTCCTTTTTCCCTCTGAATAATCCTAGTATAATCCTAGGTGTATTAGTTTAAGCCACCCTCAACTGATGTCTGAGAGTGCCTGTCTTCTCAAACTGAATGATGACAAATCTAAATGTGCATAGTGGTTACAGCTTATGGAAACTTTGTGAATATGCCCAGAAATACTACACTTAACTGAGAAACTGACCTTTGGAATGATGTTTCAGCACTGTGTTGTGACAGCTGTCATGATCTGGAGCTGTGCATCTCTTTGCAAGCCTCAGGTGCATGTTATCACGAGCTTTTCTTTCTTTCTGTCTTCAGAAAAAGCGCAGTGAGATTCCTTGCTACTGGAAGAACCAGCCGGGAGGCTGTCAGAAAGCCAACTGTGCTTTTCATCATGCAAAGGGACGTTACATCGATGGACAATTCTTACCACCAAGCAAGAGTGAGTTTAGGTCCTTTTTCTGTAAGCGCTGAAGAATTATTTTTGAGCATTACTTAGTGGGTGCCAATCCTGTAGGGGGCATCAGGTAACTGTTCATTTGTGAGTGCAGGAAAAGGTCTGCAGTCATAGGTGTACTGCACCGAGTGTACTGCTGGTGTTTGTTTTCTGCTTTCGTGCTCAGCTTCTCTTTGCTTTGTGTATGTTTGCCTTGCAGTTTGCTTCCTGTTGTTTCATCTTTTGCTGTGTGGTAGGGAGATGTGTTGTTGTTCGAAGGGAAGTCATTGTTCACAGTGTAAGCAGTGATGGGATGGGCAAAAGGAGATACTGAACTCATTGTCTGTGCGGGTTATCTGCCTTTCCTACCATCTCTTTGCATTGTGGTCAAAGTTTTAAACTGCCATATTACCGATAATCCTCGTCTTCCTCTAGCTACACTGCCAAGTCCGCCTGAGTCTGCGGACGATGATTTGAAAGTGGCTCAGATGTCACTGCAGCAAAACAAACTTTCTGTCCAGTCAAATCCCTCTCCACAGCTAAGGGGGTGATGAAAGTGGAAAACTCTGAAAATGTCCCAAGCCCTACACACCCTCCAGTTGTAATCAATGCTGCAGATGATGATGAAGATGATGATGGTGAGCATGTTTTGGTTCTTGGAAGGAATTTGTGCTGTAAACGATTGTGTAAATCTTTGGTTCTTGAAGGAATTTGTGCTGTAAATGAATGTGTTAAATCTTTGGTTCTTGAAGGAATCTGTGCTGTAAATGAATGTATAAATCACAGATGACCTGAGGTCTGACTAGCGATAGGGCAGGCAGTCTGGCCAGGTCACTGGTGGCTTTGTCTGGCAGTCAGTGGACAGAACCTGAAACGTTGGAGGAAAGCTTAGAACCACTCCTGGCTTTAGCTGGTCTTTTGTGTAAAGTTCTATGTGAAACTAGGAAGGAAATTTCTTTTTTCTGTCTGAAGAGCAATGTGTTGTGTAGTAGTTAAAGCTGCAGAGAGAATCTAGAGTCCTAGATGTTTTGTCCTAGTGTATTCTACTTAGGAGTTCATCAGGTCAGCGTAGCTGTTTAAAAACAAACAAACAAAAACAAAACATCAACAAAGTTTTTTATATGAACCATGGGCTGAAGTGTCACTGCATGAGCTACGTAATCATGAACAATCTGGTCTATGCATAACTGAATAGATTTTACCCCTTCAGACCAACTTTCTGAGGAAGGAGAAGAAACTAAAACTCCCGTCCAGCAACCAGCTGCGGAAGGCAAAAATGGATTACGGGTGATTTCCACTCGGAAAGGCAGTTCTCCTACTACTAAACAAGGTATTCCAGCACCTTAGTAGGTGCTGGAATCAGAATACTAAATCAGAAGAACTTGACAGTTAACTCAAAAGCAGTGTGGTGTAAAAACACAACAAAATGTAGGGGTGCTGAATGGACTCAGTTATTTCCATGATCACATTTCTGCCATTAATACCATCACGTGCCCATTGGGTCAGAAAAGTTAACTCCTTTTCTTTACTTTTGGAGAACAAAACAGGGCCACAGCATGGAGTTTTAATGGCTGCACGTGCAGCCTTGCAACCACTGTTGATAAGCCATATCTAACGATAGAGGGATCTAATATCGTGTAAATGGATTAAAATTAAAACTACATTTTTAACCCTGAAGGATGAAAGGAGGGGCAAAATGCCATTGGTTCTATGGCTCTTTCACTTGTGAAGAGTGTTGACAGGCTTTATTCTAAATACTTCAGAAAGTTCCTGAGCGCTAAGAAGCCTGAGGACCTGTTGTCCTCAGTGAGTGCCTCTAAGCCTGTCTCATTAACTGTTTCCTGTTTTCAGAGGGCAATCTGAATTTTGGAATAAAAACACTTGAGGAAATCAAATCGCAGAAGATGAAGGAAAAAAATAAGAGACACGGTGGTGAGTTAATATTCCCTACTTTCTCATCCTGTTCACGGCAGATGATGGTGACTGGGAGCTGCTTGAGGGACAGACTTCCATTTTTAGCTGGGGGCATAAAGCAACCTGATTCTCAGCCAGCTGGTATTCTAAATGGGAGTTCAAAGGGCAACCAGAGGCAAATTAGTCACCTCTCTTATTTACATGCTCTGTTTGCTGTATTTTTGACAGTAACAAATAATTTAAAGTTTTTTGTTCTTTGTGATAGTTTTTTATGTTGGGTAAACTTCCTTATGTTTTGGTTGCTCTGAACAGAAGGTTCTTCAAGATCTTCTCTTCGTCCCGTTGATTCTATGATTTTTCCTGCTCCAGAAAAGGAAAATGTCTGGACAGTGGTGAGAACTGTGACACTGTCTTCCAAGAAAGGTAATAATGAATGCTTTTGTTTTGATTTCATTACTCCTAAACTGGAGGGTTAAGCAATAATTAAAACAATTCACCCATGCTAGCCTTCTGGTGCTGCCTTCTGTTCAAAACGTGCTTTTATGCTTAAAGTCCCTGGTTGTACTGGAAAGATTTGGTGCTCAGGTTAAGTGCAGTGGCAGGAGAAAAAAAAAAATGTCAGTATGCAAATAGGGGGGTAACTGAAAAACAGAAGAGTAACGAGAAGAAAGAGCTGTAGAAAACAGTGCTATATAAGAAGCAATTTCTGAAGCATTAAAGAGGCTGACAGTGGCAGGTGTGGACACAGTATGACAGGAGTTTGTGTATAAATTGTTTAGAGCTGTGCAAATGCCTTTTAAAGGGAAAAAAGTGTGGAAGTACTTTTACTCGTAGACGTTCACCTTAGAAAGGAATATTTCTCAGCATTTGTACCTAATAATATTCTGCTTGCTTATGCAGCTTTGTTCTGCACAAAGTATAGCTGTCAAGCAGACTCAGATTCACTCTCTACTATCTCAGCTGGAATTTGAAGCAAGAACTGAGACTATTAATATTTTTTTTTCTATGTTAATTATAGTTAAAATATGAGTTTATGTGGTTTAGCTGTCAAAACAGTGTCTGACTGGGGTTTTTCGGACATGGGCTAACAGGATAATATTTCTGTTGGCTACTGGTTTCTGTGAAATAGAAAAAAAAATTCCCTTTTGTTTTAGGGGATGAACCTGTGGTTCGACCAGATCTTGCTGATAGACAAGGAAAACGGAAAACCTCCGTGGGTAAGAACTTGTTATGAGCTGTTACGTAGGTGCTGCCTTCTATATATGACTGCATTAAAGAGTATTTTTGATGTATGAAAGGAAAATACATTGCAGTGGAGATCTGTGTTGACTGCAGAAATGGCAAAAAAAAATAAAATAATAACAATTTAGCAGCTGAAAGGCAATTCTATGAAAATATGCTTGAAAAATAGAAGCTTATTGTTGACTGTTCTCAAACCTTCCTGCAAAGTTCTTACAATATTCCTTGTTTTCTCTGAAGATGATGTAAGTACCCTTCTAGTGAAGCGCAGCCTTGCTGAAAGGCTGGGGAAGAAGGTAGAGGCTCCGGGAAATGCTGACAAAGCACCCAAGAGAGATACAGGTACTAAATGGGCATCTGGATTGGATTCCTGGGTTTTGTATTTAGTCTTTCTGTTTGTCCTTTTCCAGTGATGTTTCTTTTTGCATGTTGGCTGAGGTCTTAATCACTGGGATTCAAAGTTCCCTTTCCTGTCTTGTTTTGCAATGTGAACCTGAAGTTGACATTATGCAGCCTCCCTAATTCATTCTTTTTCTGTTTTGCAGTTCAAGTTCCCAAGTCTCTGAAGGACAGGCTGGGATTACCTCCTAAACAGACCAGTACTGAGAGAGGTAACAGCTAGATATTAAATATACTTTCTCCTCCTTCCTTTCCATGAACTTGTACTGCTTTCATCCATCCCTAAAAACTAATTGAAATGAAAACAAAGAACTGACGCCTCTTGCTTGAGTGCTGAAGCTCTTCTGACAGCCACTATCAGAAATCTGGCTCTAGGTGTGTGTTTATTTTCTACTTGTGCCTTGTCAAGGTTTTTATCTACTTCTGTGAACCGTTACGTACAATTAGAATAGAACCACTGCCAGGAGCAGGAATTTGAAATGCAGTCTGAAAAGGTAATAAAGTAAAGCAGCATTTCTGTGTAGCAGTTCTCTCTGGATAGGGCTGGTCTTCAAAATACAAGTGGCTCAGAGGAGGAGGAGAATGTTGTTCTAAGGATATTGTTCTAAGATGCATTATTGGGAACACTCAAGATTAGTTTTCCTTAGTGCTCTGACAAATTTTGGAGACTTAAAATATTGCTGGACTCTCTTTAAATGTTGGTGCTTCTCCTCATTTCTTGATGATGACAGGGAAGGCTGCTAAGCCGATGGGAGAGATCCATGTGAAAACACTGGAGGAAATCCGTCGTGAGAAAGCTCTTCAGAGACGCGAAACTCAAGCCAAAGCCAAGGCTGAAGGGCATGGTAAAACTGAAGATTCCAGCGCAGGGGCAAGACCTGCTCATGCAGGTCGCATCAAAACTTTCTCTGAAGCCTTGTCTGAAAAAAAGAATAATCGCTTGGTAGAAGAGAAGAAAAAAGCAGGAGAATCCCATACCAAGAGCAAAATTCAGGGTGAGTCCAAGAAGGAGCTCCCTCTGTCCGGGCCCAGCAAAGGGCAGGCGAAGGAGCCGGCAGGAAAAGTCAAGCCAGAAGGAGAAGTGCGTGTTAAAACCTTGGAAGAAATAAAGCGTGAGAAAGCTCTGCGGATGCAGCAGAGTGAAGGAAATGTGCCAGCTCCCTCAGCACAACCCGGACCTGCCCCAGCAGAGCAGAAATCTTTATGGAGCACAAAACTAACAGGTAATAAGATGCTTTAATGCCTGCCCCAGTGAGGTGCTTCCCATATTGAGCAAGTTCAGTTTGCTCAGGATCTGCTTCATGGATAAATGCTGAATGGATTGCACATTGTAGCCTTTCTCTTTCATGGGACAAAAGGAAATAAATGCACAAAGGAAACAAGTACCCAGCTTTCTTTATTTCTGCCATTGACAAAACTTTTTTTTGTCTTTTTTTAAAGCACCTGAAAAAGAAGAAAAGAAGGCAGTGGAATTGAACCGGCCTTTTCCTAAACTTTCCTCTGTACCTGATGCACAGGTGAGTCCTCTGTGAAGACACACATACATTCGTACAGTTTCTGATAATTCTGACAAGTTTTGTTACTCACCGTGTGCCACCCTCTTGAGTGTGTTCGTACCCTTCAGCACCTGGTAGGAGCTGCAGTGCAGTCTAAATCCTATGGCCAGCAGCATTTCCAGACAACTCTGTAATCCTCAAACTTGGAACCAGTCTGTTTATACCACAGCAACAAAGGAACCCTGTTAGCACCAGCTGAAATCTACACAGTTAACGTGGAGGGAATTCTTTTTGTTCTTACTGACTTGATCTGTCAGACATGAAGGATTTAATACAGAAGGCCAGAGTTCTGTGTTCAAGGAAATCAATCTGTCAGTGTAGGGGAACTTGTATGACTTTCTACTACTTAAAAAGAATGTGATAAATAGATGTACAGCAGAACACCCTAGCTGTTTAAAGAAGCTTGACATAGTGGATATTGCAGATATGTGAGCCTGTGTCCATTGTAAAGCATGGCTCTTGTTACAGGCAGAATTTTATGGGAAAAAAAACAAACAAACAAAAAAAACCACAACAGTAACCTGAACGATATTAATATGCTGTTCCACATCAAGACCATTTTGGAGGGATTGCTGATCAGATTTTCTTAACGAAATCTCCACGGAATTTTTTTTTTTTTTTTTTTTTTTTTTTTTTTTTTTTTTTGTCCTATTCATGCACTACTTTTCTTTCTTTCTAGCCCACTCAGCAGAGTGGAACTCGTAAATGTCCAGAGAAGAGCTTTGAAGAGAGATGGTGGGAGAAGTGGCAACAGAGAGAACAAGAGAAGCTTCAGAAGGAGGAAGCTGCTGTCAAATCTACTGCTGGCTTCTTTAATACTGAACCAGCAGGGAAAGTGGCAGCTCAATTTCAGAGTCAGGAAGCTAAAAGTAAGTGTTGAAGATTAAGAGTTACTTAGGTTGTCTTCTGAAATACAGACAGAAGATGAAAATTCTCATGCTGTACCTCTGGCTGGGTGCATTTTGCCACGCAATGCTACAAAGCGAAGTGTGTACTTTCTTTTTCTTAGTTTGTTTCTTTTCCTGCCAGCCAGATGTTACGTAAGGAACGGGAGACTAGAAAATGACACTACAAATTTGGACTTTGTAGAACAACTTAACTGTGGGACATCACTGCAACGGAGAGGAAGCTGGTACAACAGTTGCATACACTCTTGTCCTACTATAACTGCTGCTTTTTCCTCTCCTAGGGGGAGCAGGACTTTAAATATAAAATCTGTCTATATTTGTGAACCTAGCTTGCACTTAGGATTGCTATGTGTCTGAGGTTTCCCTTGTCCTGGATTATTATTTACTGTAGCTATTTGGTTTCTTTGTTCCTTTGTATGGATTGTTGGTAGACAGAGTTTACTATATGGAAAACATTCCTGAGAATCCAGGCAATGGTGGTGTAATTCTGCTGGCCAAATGCATTTAACTGTGTAGAAAGACTGTGGAAATGATTAAGAGAACCTGGATTTTTCCTGAGGCAGAGCAAGACTATATCAGTTCTCTCTTCCTTTTACTCTAGCCAATTTTATGACATCTGCGAAGCCTTCGGGTGGGAAAGTCACTTTCCCCAAGAAGAAGGCACTGAAACGTAAGGCACCTGGGAGTTATCCCTCTGCCATAGCAGCTGTGGAACTACGGACTGCCTTTGATGCAGACATGATGGGATCTCCAGCCACAAAAGCAGCCATGGTAAGGCCAGGGGCTAATGCAGAGATGGATCCCTTGTTAAATTTCTACCCTCCTCTAGGAGAAAAGGTGGAAAACTCAAATGTTCTGCAGCCCTTCTGTTTCCTTTTAAATCCAGTAGCTGTCTACAGGATGCTTGTAGAACCCTTCTGTATTTATGAGATGAATGGCACTCTTTAACCGGTACTCTGATGTTGTGATTTCTCTGGTGTGGGGGATTTTGTCCATTAATGCCATGTTCTTAAAAGACACAAGATCATGAGTAACCTCCAGGTGAATGTGAACTTTCTTCAGGAGCACCTTGGTTTTGTATTTTGGCCACGGCTCCACAATGCCAGAGGAGAAGCAGTGTGGAGGAAAAAGCTATTAAGGAATCTTTTACCCATGTGTCATAAATACTGTTTTGCTGCTTTCTAGGGTGTTTCAGACGTGCCGGAGCACGTCCCAGCCATCAGACTTGAAGAAAATCCCCAAAACAGGTGACAACCCCAACTTGTTCTTTTTCTTAATCAGTGTATATCCCCAGGGAAACATACGTTCTGTCACATGTGGGAAAAAATGAGGGTTCTGAGATAATTAAAGCCAAAATCCATCAAAGGAATAAGTCACCTGAAACCACTTTCTAGCAGCTAGCAGGATTGCTTAATTAGGCTTTCTTTAAATGCTGCAAGTCAGCACAGCTTTCCGGTGACTTCTTGGGTTGTCTGAATACCTGCACGAGGATGAGGTGAAGTTCTACTTCCTCATGAGGTGATAGATGATGAGTAGTGTCCTCTGCCTTTTGGTCCTCAAGAATGCCACCTCAACTCCAGGTGCCCTGGCTTCACAGATAAACCCCCCGACTGAAAAATGTACCTGGTAACACATCAGGCTCTAAATGTAGCCCTGGGTTGATTGATACAAGAAGGACATGGAGGTGCTTGAGCGGGTCCAAAGAAGGGCGACGAAGCTAGTGAGGGGCCTGGAGAACAAGTCCTATGAGGAGCGGCTGAGGGAGCTGGGCTTGTTCAGCCTGGAGAAGAGGAGGCTCAGGGGCGACCTTATCACTCTCTACAGATACCTTAAAGGAGGCTGTAGTGAGGTGGGGGTTGGCCTGTTCTCCCACATGCCTGGTGACAGGACGAGGGGGAATGGGCTTAAGTTGCGCCAGGGGAGTTTTAGGTTAGATGTTAGGAAGAACTTCTTTACTGAAAGGGTTGTTAGGCACTGGAACGGGCTGCCCAGGGAGGTGGTGGAGTCACCATCCCTGGAAGTCTTCAAAAGACGTTTAGATGTAGAGCTTAGGGATATGGTTTAGTGGGGACTGTTAGTGTTAGGTTAGAGGTTGGACTCGATGATCTTGAGGTCTCTTCCAACCTAGAAATTCTGTGATTCTGTGAATTCTGTGATTCTGTGATAACAATCCCTGTGTAAGATTGAAGCGTAGGAGGGCTTGCCTACAGTTTTAAGAGCCGGTTTGCAGAAAAGGGATTTCCCGTTAAGAAATGGCATATCCTGATTGTTCTTTCTTGCTCTCCCAAGACCTGAAGTGCATCTTGGAAGGCCGGAAAGATTTGAGGAGCAGATGGAGATTGATCTCGAGACCTCGACCTCAGCTTCTTCCCAGCTAGAAGAGGCACGGACACGCCGGCTGAGTTCCACAGGGAACGCGCACTTATCTGCGGATGAAGATTTTGAGAAGCTACTTTGGGAAATCTCAGGAGGCAGACTGGAAGCCGAAATCGACTTAGACCCAGGGAAGGACGAGGATGACCTCCTCCTTGAACTCTCTGAGATGATTGACAGTTGAACTGCGTAGTCCTATGGTATAATTAAAAAAAATAAATTAAAACTGTTCTTCTTGTTGGATACCCCGAGGTGATCCTTTTTCTAACTGAGGCTTTGCAATGAGACTTAAAGCACTGTCCGAACTGGTAGAAATTGGCAGGATCTGCACTCAGTTGTCCTAAATTTCCCTGCTGGTCAGAGTTAAGGTCTTGTGCATCCGTTCTGTAACTATAGGTGGCTACCTTCGATATCGAGAGGACAAAGCACATCTTTTGGCACAGAAAGATCTCCATTGGCACGCCATGGTGGGTGAAAATCGATCTTCTGATGGAGCGATGCTTTGAAGGCTTAAGCGTAAAGCTTCTTCCTTCCTCCCCCCTTGGCACAACTCGATGTTGGGCACATTGTGAAGCTTCGGTGTACTGATTTCTCGGACAGTTGATACCCAAATCCTGGAGTTACTATGTCAACTCTTGACTTTTACTCGTGTATGTGTAGTGGGTTTACGTGGCAAGGTTTTGGTAGCAGGGGGCCATAGAGGTGGTTTCTGTGAGAAAGATCTAGAAGCTGCCCCATATTTGGGAAGAGCCCCATTGTTTTCCAGATCTGAGCCAATAAGCGATGTTGTTTTGCGCCTCTGTGAGAGCATATTTAAGACAGGAAAAAAACGCTGCGCCACACAGCAGCTGGGAGAGTGAGAGGAGTGAGGAACGGCATCAAGGTCAGTGTAGAAGGAGGGGGAGAGGTGCTCCAGGCACCGGAGCAGAAGTCCCCTGCGGCCTGTGGTGAGGACCATGGTGAAGCAGGATGTCCCCCTGCAGCCCATGGAGTACCACGGTGGAGCAGGGCTCCACGCTGTAGCCCGTGGAGGAGACCACGGTGGAGCAGGTGGCCCTGCACTGACGGAGGCTGCCACCTGTGGAAGACCCTTGCCGGAGCAGATTCCGGGCCGGACCTGTAGCCCATGGAGAGGAGCCCGCGCAGGAGCAGGTGACCTGGCAGGAGCTGCTGCCCGTAGGGGAGCCAGGTTGGAGCAGTTTTCTCCTGAGGGATGGACCCCGTGGTACGGACCCATATCTGGAGCAGCTCTGGAAGAGCTGCTGCCTGTGGGAAGCCCACGCTGGATCTGTTCATCAAGGACTGCATCCCGTGGGTGTGACCGCACAGCACAGGGGATGAGAGTGACCGAGAAGGAGCAGCAGAGAAGAAGTGCTGTAGACTGACCATAACCCCCATTCCCCTGCGCCGCTCGGGGGGAGGAGGTGGAAGAGGGTGGAGGGGGGGGAAGGTGCTTTTGGTTTCTTTCCTTTGTTTCTCACTTCTCTAGCTTGTTAGCAATAAACAATAAATCTTACTATCTCCCTATGCCAAGTCTGTTTTGCCCGTTACAATAATTACTGCGTGATTTTCTCGTCCTTATCTCAACCTTTGAGCCCTTTTCACATATTTTCTCCCCATTCTTCTTTGAGGAGGGGGAGTGAGAGAGCGGCTGTGGTGGAGCTCGGCTGCCCACTCGAGCAGAACCACGACAGTGTCATCTGCAACCTTACTGAGGGTACGCTCCATCCCCTCCTCTAGGTCATCAATAAAGGTATTAAACAAGATAGGCCCCAGTACCGACCCCTGGGGGGCACCACTTGTAATGGGATGCCAGCTGGACTTAATTAACCACAAGCCACTGGGCACAGCCCTCCAGCCAGTTCTGTACCCGGAGAGGGAGTGGAGGGGCAGGAACCAATCTGTTCTCTTTAGAGACCAGTGACAGGACCTGAGGGAATGGTGTCAAGCTGAGGCAGGGGAGGTTCAGGCTGGACATCAGGATGAGGTTCTTCACCGAGAGGGTGGTTGCACACTGGAACAGGCTCCCCAGGGAAGCAGTCGCTGCACCAAGCCTGTTGGAGTTTAAGAAGCGTTTGTACTGTGTTCTTAGTCACGTGGCCTGAATTTTGGGGTAGACCTGTGTAGTGCCAGGAGCTGGACTCGATGATCCTTAGGGGGGCCCTTCCAACTTGGGATATTCTATGATTCTGTGGTTCTAAAAATCTGTGACATTAACCAAGTTGAAGAATAATTTAAGGAAAAATGAGGTTGACTCCTTTATTACCTTTTCAATGTAATAATACATTAAAATGTAAATTTTCAATATATAATTTTCTTCCTCCTGTGTTTGCCTTTGACATATAACCAAGACAACAAGAATGGGGTAAGCTGCTCGCAAACTTTTTTTTAAAAGTTTATACAGTTTCAAATGTAAGATTAAAAAATGACAACAACAACAAAACAGATGGTGGCTCACTTTTTATTATTACATATCCGAGCAATACACATGAAAGAAAAAATTCTTAATACTACACTGATATTGGGACAGATGCTAAAAAGTTACATATGTGTGTTTCAGTTTTCTTCAGAAAAACAGACATAGAGATTGCACAGTTAGGTATTCACCATCACTAGGTGTTGTGTACGAGATGTGACAACACAACAGCAACATATCCTGCTGCATATTTTAGCACAGCTGATACAGAATCTTATTTTCAAAAAAATTAAACCTTTCCTGCCTTAACTTAAATATCTGTGAAATTCAGAGAAATTTTTCTCTGCTGGTTTGAAGAGGTATCCTTCAAACAGAATATTGCTTTCTGTTTATTTAAATATATTTATCACCAGCAATATATTCTTTTTTATGAAAATAAATATATATAATTATCTCCAGGTCAGTAGAAAACAATTTATTCAACTATAAGGCTTTCTTGTAACTAGTTTTTCATATTAAAATGGTATTCTCTGGTATCAGTAACATTGTCATTGGTAGAAGGAAGACTCAGCTTTGCATTAGAAAGTTGCAATAAGCAAATCTTGCTTTGCTTCAGTTTGTGTCGTTTACTTTTAATAGGCAAAAATCTTGTGTTTGTGGAAAGTGTTTCTCCCACATACTTTCTCTAGCGTGTTAATACTATGAAAGCCCTTTAAGGTGCTATCAGTAAATTATAAAAAAAGATACCTCCTGCACTAAGGTAAAGGAGGTTTACAAGTTTTTATAGGACATAAAAATACCTCCTGCACTAAACTGTACTAAGAGGTTTCTGAAGGAGTTGCATTTCATATATAGGTTTGTGAGGAATGTGTTAACAATTTGTGTCAATAAAGAGCAGTCCTGTCTGCCTCCATGTCCTGCACTGGCAATTTAATTCCTGAACCACAGATGTAGTTTCTCCCAGTGTGTCCCAGTCTCCCCCTCATTCTAGTCAATTTATCAAGTCTTCAGAAAATATTCCTCAAATCTATGAACCTGTTTGCTTTTGTTATTTGGAACTCCTATTTCTAACAGTTACAGCCTTTTTTGTCTTCTTCGTGATTGATTTAGCACTGCTATAGGTGTGACTGTCCCTGTGAATGGCCGATGAGGAATGTTTTAACTACTCGTGAAGTGTCAGTAAGAGAGCTATTTGTGTTTGTATGTTTTTTTCTTTGAAGTCTTTGATGTCTGGGGGTTTCAGAACAACTGCTAACAACTAGTGACTGTTATGGCTTCTGAATGGGACACTATGCAAGCCTCTGATATCTGGCCAGGTGGCCAGGAGATTAAGGAGAAGAAAAAAAAGAAGCTGAAGACTTGCTGTGTAAACTTGACATGCTGCCAAGGAGTACAAAGGGGAAGGACAAGAAAAAAAACTTGGAGAGGAAGACTACGAGCCTTCAGCATGAAAGACCCCTAGAGACCCCCAGAGGAACCACCGGAGACTGATGCGCATGCTCCAGTAGGAGGGACTGGACCACGGAAGCTAATTATAATAACCTGTTTTTTTTAGAAGTAGTAATGAATATGTATTAGTCTAGGAGCATAAAAATCAGCTACTTGATGTAACTGGGGTGCGTCCTGGTGGAGCGGAGACTCCCGGTGCACCCAGCGCTGTTTGCTTACCTCTATTATTTTAATAAATCCTATTTTTTATTTAATCCTACTTTGGGACTGAGCGGATTTATAACAGGTTTCTTTTAAGACATTTATGTAGTGTCCAGTGGAATAAAGAGCACCACAGGTTACTTCAGAAAAATATATTCTGAATAGCTGACAAAGTATGTTAAAAATCTATCCAGTTTTCAGTCATTTTCTTTTAAAAAGAGGTATTGGCAGTATCCGAAAGACGTTCATATCTATAGTGTTACATAGGCACTGTCAGCAGTAGCTCCGATAAAAAGAAGATGGAAAATTAAGGTGTTGTGTAATGGAAATGAAAGTCATGTCCTGTGATTTCAGAAGACTGTGTATATTCCATTCCTTCTGCCAAGCCTGCTATTTATCATGTTATATACATACACATATACATGCATATATATATATATATATATATATATATATAGGATAATAAATAGAGAGCTACATATATAGAACAAAAATATCAAATAAAAGTACTTAAATATATTTAAGAAAGGTCAAATAAAAAAATTTATTTAAAATATCTTAAAATACCTATATATGAAATTTTATATACCTATATGAGATACTATTTACTAAATTTTTTACAAATAGTAGAACATTACTAAATTGTTTACAAATAACAGAACAGTGTGCAACAAAAGCCTCTGGAGAGTAAAAATTAAGTATGTTGAAGACTACTTGTAGGACCAGAAGGCTGAGATTTCTTTCTTAATTTCCTAGTAAGAAAAAAAAAAGAAAAAATAGCAGTAAGCACAAATGAAAGCTTAAGAACACTTTCTATTACTATAAAAATAAATAATTTTTAATACATGGTTAGTAATATTTAGCAAACAGTGTGCTACCACCATCATAATGGCCTATTACCCCTTCTAGCTTCAGAGGCATCCTTATACATCCAAAATAGAGAGGAGGATACCAATTATATGGAGCTCTCTCAGCTGTGGTTTCACAACAATTGGAAAGAAGAAGCAGTTCCTGAGAAGCCACAACAAGCTCAAGTTAATTTCTGGACTTTGAATAATTACTCCTTAAGTTCTCTCTCTCTCCATACAGTAGAACACGCTCCTGACTAACTTGTACAGTGCACTCTGAATAGGAGAGATTTGTTTGCCTAAGCTAAAGGAAGAAATAGAAAACCAAGAAAGCTACTTAACTTTTAACACTTAAATTAAATGTTAAGTTACAAAAGTTCACAGGCCATGAGATAACATAAATAAATCCCTTCTCGAGCTAAAAGATCTCTTTTTTTTTTTTTTTTTTCAGGAGCGGCCTCCCTGAATCTAAATAATCCTCTCACAGGCAGAACAGAGTGTCCATTCTAACTCTTTATCAGATGTGGAAGAAGAGATCGAGATTGAGGAGTTCCAGATGAAACAGAGAACAGGACCTCAAAACTTATTTTTACAAACTGCTGCTCCTATTCCTGTTCCCACAGGAACTGACAGTCCAATAAAGGGCTTTAGACTTCATTAAAGTAGTCCTGTAAATACTGTTTGTAATTATAAGGAAAGATCTCTGTGCTTTTCAGTGCTGTGGCATGCCTACATATCAAAGCCTTTTCACGAGCAGACTGTGTTGGCATTTGGACTGGCTTTTTAGAATGAAACCAGGGCTTTCAGTGAATAATCCGATAAGAGACATTTGAGAGTCAGCAGAAGTAAAAGCACTGCTTCTGCTTCTTGCAAATTCCTAATAGTGCAGCCCTAAAAATAAAGTTGAGCCTTCCCCAAAACGCTGAGAAATACGAACACTGAGAAGTTACAGACACACACAGATCAGCACTAGTTTACCTTCTGTGGGTCAACGGGCTTTGCAAATTCCCTGAAATGTCTGTCAGTGGCAAGTCTGTGAGTAACTTCCCTCAAGAAAATTCTAAGTTCACGCAAGGTATCCTCCTCTTCCTCCTCCAGCATCCCTACTTCTTCCTCTTGTGGCTTCTGAGGCTCAGCTGGTAGTGCTACAGGCAGGACTTCCAATGTCCGATGAACTTCAATTAATCAGGAAAAATTAGACAATTTACAGTACTCAAATATAAGCATATGATAAATTACTGACAGAAAATGACCACCAAAGCAAATCCCAAAGAGCTAGTAACTTCGATAGGAAAGTTTTAGATGTACTTCTTATATCCTCCTCACCTGTTTTCTTTACAGGAGGCTTAGCCACTTGATTTAGAATTAGGTCCTCCAAAAAAGCTGCTCTCTCTGCCCTACCAGGCAACTCAATATTGCACACTTCTCCAAATTCCTTATTAAATAATTTTTGGATCTAAAGCAGAAGGAGGAAAGACATTTCAGATTTAAGGCCACAAAAACTCATATTCTATTCCAAAAAGACGAGTACCTTTTAAAATTAATAATAACCTGAAGAACACAACCTGAAAAAAGTTATCTTCCTGGCCTTAAAAGGCTACATTTTCACAGGCTGGCACAGCAAATTCAAATATCACCTTTAAGAATCACCTGTAGAATTAAAGCTCAGTGAAGGGATTGTACGCTACACTGATAAAGTAATGGCTTTCACCACATCCAACACCGCTTCCTTTGTATTTACTTGCCTTGCTTCATCCTTTAGTTAGAACCTTTATGGCTATAGAGGGAAGAGAAAGGCTTCAGCAAACAAGTGAGGGCTTTTTGCTGAGTTTTTATTTCTCTACCAAAAGGTGTCTGAAGTAGCTAGTACCTCTACGTCTTCCTCCATTTTCCATTTCTAGTATTAAAAGGTAGGTAAGGAATTTCACTACTTATTTTAGAAGGAATTTAGAACCTGTACAAAAACTTCTGTGGGAACTCAAGCACTTTCAAAGCAGTTGATAATAAACATGTCTAGGTAAGACCCGTTCTCTTCCCCCAATAACTGAGACAAAATAATCAGAATGAGAACAGCGTGTTCCTGTTTTGGGCACCTTCCCTTAATGTAAACTCTCAGAAATCAATGAAGTCCTGCATGTACTATTACTACAGTTTATTTAGGAATACAACTAGAATTCGATTCCGAAGTTACTTTAGCAGAAATTGGAACTCAGCTTTCCAGCTTGGAAAGCTTTGGCCTATATGAAGAAAGAAACTGATTTTTTTTTTTTTTTTTAATCAAAGTGTTTCAATTCTCTACTAAATTGAATTATTAGCAGTTTACCCAACATAGCATGGAATGGCAGACTGTCAGAAGAAATCTCTTCAGTAAAGACATCCTCTTGTCATTTCAAGCACTGCATATTCTTGACTGAACCACTTTGTAGCCACCGGAACTATTGTATTAATTTATTATTTCCATGTGTGAGAAGGGGGTGAAAGTCACTTGCTTGACCTTAAGCAGATGCTTTCACAGTATTCTTTTTCTCTAAGCAAACTTTAAGAGATTTGTTAGGGTGCCTGAGTAATAACAGCATGCTTTTAACAAAGCACAGCATTTTGATGCTGAAAGCATTCATAAATTATAAGAAACTGAAGAAATAGTAATAAAAGTATTGACAAATACCTCTTCTGGGAGATCTGAGTGATGTACATCAGACGTAGCAAGCAGCAAAACTGGCGAAAATGCTGGAAGAGTTAGTTAGAAAAGTAAGTTTTAAGGCAGGTCCAACGTTGTCCCACCATAAATGGATATCTGGGACATAAATTATGCTTGGTGCTGTCTTCTGAGCATTTTGGATCAGCTAGTGAAAAGGAAAGCTTGGGTAAGAAAACTAAAACACGTAGAATAACCTGTTAATACATAGCTACATAGCCACCTGACTGCCCCATGAAATGAAACTATGTGAACAGAGTGGCAAGCATCCTTTCACATAAGGAATTTCTCTGGGCACCCTTTCAGATTATCAGTATTCGGAGAACTCTAGTCAGAAGATGGGAAGGATATATTCAGGCAGTGGCTAGACACTGTAGCTATATGGCCACAGCCACAATCATCGCATAACAAAGAAAGGAAATGTCCCTCTTATGGGACACATCAGTATTCAGTCGTGTAACATGTCTGTCCTTACTTGTATGGCTCTCAAATGTTTCCACTAAAGGGAAAAATACTTTGAGGTACTGATGCCAAACAATAAAATGGATTTCCTGCCTAAAAGTAAAAAAAAACAAATCTGTTCCTTTTTTCTAGTTAAAACCACATCAGCGTGCAAATGAAGTGTTTTGTGAATGTTACTGCTTTTATTGCACATACTGCAACGGCACAAGTTGTGTATGTCCATGTGAAAACAAAATAAACAGAAGCCCCAAACCTTGGTTGCCTTACTAATATAATTTAGAAGAAGGCTACAAAAAGTAGCCGACGTGCAGTCTGATACAGAGCCATCTACTGGGAGCACACAGTCTTAGGAGGCAATGAGAACTACTTTCTGGATCCCAGGGAAATGAGCAGCATTTCTTTCCACAAAGAGATGTTTATTAGCAACACCGCCCAGCTTCCTGAGCTGCTAGCAACATCGTCACTGTAAAATTGGGTATGGAAAATGTGGACATGTACAACATCCAGATTGTTTGTGGTTTTGTCTAAAAGAAAAGGGGATTTTCAGACAGAAGCAAACATCCCAGCACATTAAAACAAGGCCACCTCCATTACCAATGAATTCTGCTCACCTTACTTGCAACTCGATTGATCCTTTACATACAGTCAGTGAATCCGATGAGAATAAAAAGTAAAAATCTACCTGTCCACAGATTTCTTCTGGCGGTGCAATGTTTGTAAGCAGAACAGAAAGGTCCAGGGTGTGAACGGGAAACTTCTCCAAAGCATGCAACACCGCGGGTGCCACGTAAGAAACCTGGCCGTACCCTTCTTTTCCTACTATTAGCAGACGGGGCCGGCGTGATGTTGGTTCGCAGAAAGCACTCCTAGAACAAGAGTTAAGAAAACAAGTTTATAAATGAGGTGCTGAATAGACATGCAGATGTTCCAAGTAATTTTCCTATAGACTTTCTTTTCCCTCCCCAAATAATCCAAATGGCAGCGGTACATTAAATACATGTAAGATTTCCAGTTAAGTTATTCAGTCATTCCAATTGTTTCATCTTCTTCCCTTGTGTTTCCTATTCTTTACTGAATCAAGACTGCAAATTAATATCCCTGCAATCTTGCTTTACTACTAGGAAATAAATTTGTGAGGAGCATTTGTTTCCCCACTACAATCAGGCTGTACCTTTGCTGGCTTAAATCAAAGATGCTAGAGACTTAGCCTTGTTCTAGAGGACAGAAAATCTTCTGGACAGCACAGCAATAGAAAGTGAGAAAAATAACTGATCCAGCTGTGACAACATGATCTAACTTTCCAACTGTGGGCTTGCATGACTTCCATACTAAAATACCACAAGATTAACAACTTGGTGGCTTAACAAATAAAGACACCATTCAAGTTTTTCTCAAGGTGTTTTAACAAGCCATTTCTCAGTTTTCGTTCTGCTACATAATTCACTACTGGTTTAACACTCCTGGAAAACAGAAGGGCAAAAGGTGGCAACACAAACCCATAAAGTTGGGGTATTTTTAGCTAAAAGGACAGACAGGACATTTATGTGGTCTTGAGTCTTTCAAAGAATGCCATGGATTAAGTCAACATGTTCTGGTAGTCTATGGATCACTTTGGCTTAGGAAGAGAAGCCTGGGCTTTTCAATTTGGTTATTCAGAGCAACTTCATTACAACTTTAGTCCCTTCACCCTTTCTTCTTGTGAATACCAAGCACCCCTTCAACACACAAACTTGATGTTACCCCTTCGTCTACCACCCCTCGCACTTTTAACAGCTGGAACTCTTTACAAAGACACAGCAATCCTGAGAATTTAAACGTAACAGGGATCTATCTTTCTTTACCTGCTGAAACAGAGGCGTTTTTTTCTCTGGTCCGTCAGGCGTTCCGTCTTTTAATTCATCTCCAGAAACCAAGGATGCATCGTCATCACTGTCGAACATATCATCTTGTAAAATAGGATTTAAATGGTCTGAAAGACAAAAGAGGTTTGTTAACTTTCCTGAATAGCCTTTGTCTCTTTCTCCTACATGAATACAGCTTCTTAATCAGTGCCAAAACCCTTTCTTCATTTGAGAGCACACACTGAAAGCTATTTCCTAGAGTTCATCCCACCACAGATCTAAGGAGATGGCACAAGGCCCTACAAAGCTGTACTAAGTCCCACTGATGTGTACGTGTAAGGTATGCTACCCTTGGTGATTTTTTTCTCCCCCTTAGAATAAAGGAGATTACAAACAATTTCTGCAGTTGCTAAATAGATAAAAAAACAAAACAAAACAAAAAAACAAACAACAAAAAAAACCAAGACCATTTCTTTCTGGAGGAGGTTTCCACAATGAAAGCACGGGGATTAAGGATGTGATGGCCACAGAATTCCATTCATCTAGTAAGTATCAATGCTAATTGATCTCACGTGCACATGTATGGTATGATCCACAAACATTTAAATTAGGAGACTGGTTAAAAATGATGACAGCTAAAACAATATTTAGCTTAGACCAGTTATACTTGTATCCTGGTCATGACATTCTTCAGAAAGGAATTAGAAATATTGACCTAGAAATGCTTCCCCTCCAAATATCTGAGTTTTGCTTTTTTAAAGAAAAATAGGTGCCTTATACTTCAAACCTCAAGTCAACCTCTACAAATGCGAATTATCTTAGCTGCCGTCAGAAGCAGGATGCTTCAGTAGAGAACGCATCGTCCTTTACTGTGTATTGAGTCATTACAGAATCACACAGAATCACAGAATTTCTAGGTTGGAAGAGACCTCAAGATCATCAAGTCCAACCTCTGACCTAACACTAACAGTCCCCACTAAACCATATCCCTAAGCTCTACATCTAAACGTCTTTTGAAGACTTCCAGGGATGGTGACTCCACCACCTCCCTGGGCAGCCCATTCCAGTGCCTAACAACCCTTTCAGTAAAGAAATTCTTCCTAACATCTAACCTAAAACTCCCCTGGCGCAACTTTAGCCCATTCCCCCTCGTCCTGTCACCAGGCACATGGGAGAACAGGCCAACCCCCACCTCTCTACAGCCTCCTTTAATGTACTTATACAGAGCAATAAGGTCACCCCTGAGCCTCCTCTTCTCTAGGCTGAACAAGCCCAGCTCCTTCAGCCGCTCCTCATAGGACTTGCTCTCCAGGCCCCTCACCAGCTTCGTCGCCCTTCTCTGGACCCGCTCAAGCACCTCCATGTCCTTCTTGTAGCGAGGGGCCCAAAACTGAACACAGTACTCGAGGTGCGGCCTCACCAGAGCCGAGTCCAGGGGGACGATCACCTCCCTAGCCCTGCTGGTCACACTGTTTCTGATACAAGCCAGGATGCCGTTGGCCTTCTTGGCCACCTGAGCACACTGCTGGCTCATATTCAGCCGACTGTCCACCATCACTCCCAGGTCCTTCTCTGCCTGGCAGCTCTCCAACCATTCCTCTCCCAGCCTGTAGTTCTGCTTGGGGTTATTGCGCCCCAGGTGCAGGACCCGGCACTTGGCCTTGTTAAACTTCATGCAGTTGACCTCAGCCCATCGGTGCAGCCTATCCAGATCCTCCTGCAGAGCCTTCCTACCCTCGAGCAGATCAACACACGCACCTAACTTGGTGTCATCTGCGAACTTACAGAGGGTGCACTCAATGCCGTTGTCCAGATCATTGATGAAGATGTTAAAGAGGACCGGCCCCAGCACCGAGCCCTGGGGGACTCCACTAGTGACTGGCCTCCAACTGGACTTGGCTCCATTCACGACAACTCTTTGGGCCCGGCTATCCAGCCAGTTTCTAACCCAACGAAGCGTGCGCCAGTCCAAGCCAAGAGCAGCCAGTTTCTTGAGGAGAATGATGTGGGAGACAGTGTCAAAAGCCTTGCTGAAGTCAAGGTAGACCACATCCACAGCCTTTCCCTCGTCCACCCAGTGCGTCACTTTGTCGTAGAAGGAGATCAGGTTCGTCAAGCAGGATCTGCCTTCCATAAACCCATGCTGACTGGGCCTGATTGCCTGCTTGCCCTTCAAGTGCCGCATGACGACTCCCAAGAGGATCTGCTCCATGAGCTTCCCTGGTACAGAGGTCAAACTAACCGGCCTGTAGTTCCCCGGGTCTGCCCTCCAGCCCTTCTTGTAGATGGGCGTCACATTTGCTAGCCGCCAGTCAGCTGGGACCTCCCCCGATAGCCAGGACTGCTGATAAATGATGGATAGGGGCTTGGCCAGCTCCTCTGCCAGTTCTCTCAGTACCCTTGGGTGGATCCCATCCGGCCCCATCGACTTGTGCACATCCAAGTGCCGTAGCAGGTCACCAACCAGTTCTTCGTGGATGGTGAGGGCCACATCCTGCTCCCCATCCCCTTCCACCAGCTCAGGGTACTGGGTATCCAGAGAACAACCAGTATTGCCGCTAAAGACCGAGGCAAAGAAGGCATTGAGCACCTCCGCCTTTTCCTCATCTCTTGTAACTAAGTTTACCCCCGCATCCAGTAAAGGATGGAGATTCTCCCTAGTCCTCCTTTTTGTGTTGATGTATTTATAAAAACATTTTTTGTTATCTTTAACAGCAGTAGCCAGATTGAGCTCCAGATGAGCTTTGGCCTTCCTAATTTTGTCCCTGCACAGCCTCGCTACATCCTTATAGTCCTCCCTAGTGGCCTGTCCACTTTTCCAAAGATTATAAACCCTCTTTTTTCTCCTAAGCTCAAGCCACAATTCTCTGTTCAGCCAGGCTGGTCTTCTTCCCCGCTGGCTCATCTTTGGGCGCATGGGAATAGACCGCTCCTGCGCCATTAGAATTTGCCTCTTGAAGAGCGCCCAGCCTTTCTGGACCCCTCTGCCCTTCAGAACCGCCTCCCAAGGGACTCCACCAACTAGTGTCCTGAGCAGCCCAAAGTCAGCCCTCCGAAAGTCCAATACAGTGGTTTTACTGGTTCCCTTCCTGGCCTCGCCAAGAATAGTGAACTCCACCATTTCGTGGTCACTCTGCCCAAGACAGTTCCTGACAATCACATCCTCCACCAGTCCTTCTCTGTTTGTGAAGAGAAGGTCTAGCAGGGCACCACCCCTGGTAGGTTCACTAATCAGCTGCATCAGGTAGCTATCTTCCACTTTCTCCAGAAACCTCCTAGACTGCTTTCTCTGGGCTGTGTTGTGCTTCCAGGATATGTCAGGGAAGTTGAAGTCCCCCACGAGTACAAGCGCTGAAGATTTCGCAACTTCTGTCAGCTGCCTGTAGAACTCCTCATCCGTCTCCTCATCCTGGTTCGGCGGTCTATAGCAGACCCCGACCAGGACACTAGCCTTGTTGTCCCTGCCGATCCTAACCCAAAGGGACTCGATCTTGTCATTCCTAGCCTCGAGTTCTACAACATCGAAAGACTCTCTAATATAGAGAGCCACACCGCCACCCCTTCTGTGCTGCCTGTCCCTTCTGAAGAGCCTATAGCCAGGCATCACAGCACTCCAGTCATGAGACTGGTCCCACCACGTTTCCGTGATGGCAACCAAGTCGTAGCCTGCCCACTGCACGATGGCTTCCAGCTCCTCCTGTTTGTTACCCATGCTGCGTGCATTGGTGTAGATGCACTTCAGCTGGGCCTTTACCTTATCCTCCGGCCTTGCCACTGCTCCCCCTGGCACAGCCCCAACAGTCCTTGCTTCAGCCCCATCCCCCTTCTTACCTAGTTTAAAGCCCTATCAATGAGCCCCGCCAGCTCCTGGCCCAGGATCCTTTTTCCCCTAAAGGATAGGGACCTGTCTACGGCCATCAGACCAGGTGCTGAGTAAACTGCCCCATGGTCGAAAAACCCAAGATTTCTGCGTAGGCACCAGCCCCGGAGCCACGTGTTTAACAGGTGGGCTTTCCTTGTCCTCTCCGTACCCCTCCCTGTCAACGTAGGGATGGACGAAAAAACTACCTGCACTCCCGCTCCGTCCACTAACCGTCCCAGCCCCCTAAAGTCTCTTTTGATAGCCTTCAGGCTTCTGTCTTCAATGTCGTCGCTGCCCGCCTGGACTATCAGAAGAGGATAATAATCAGAGGGGCGTACCAGGTTGGGAAGCCTCCTGGCAACGTCCCTGACCCTGGCCCCAGGGAGGCAGCAGACATTCAGAGCTTCCATTTGGCATTTCAGTTTCGAATCCAGAATAAAACCTATGCGTTATATTCCAGACATGCCCAAAAGAAAGACATGCACATTCAAATAATAAAATTCTACCATCATTATGTCTGAAAGGTTTGCACAAACCACAAGTTTTTGCTTTAGCAGAATTATAAAGAAGTGGATGCTGTGGTTATACCTTGCTGTCGGTCCTCCTTTAGTGCAAGCTGTGCATGCGGGAAGATCTTCTGCACAACTTGTAAAATATTCGCTACTGATCTTTTAAAAAATGGCTTGAAAATGGGTGATAGTGCTTGTCCGGGTGAAGCCACGATCCTGTTTGATGCCGGAACAACCTTCTTCATAGCCATGAAAAAGTCCTTTGCTTTTATTTTAGTAGAATTAACATCTAGTAGCAACTTCTCCCTACTTGCATAAATCTGAGGATAGCATCGGCGTAGAGAGCACAGCGCAGCTTCAGTACATAAAGATTTGATATCTGCACCACAGTATCCTAACACACAAAAATCAAACGTTACATCAGTCAAGTCCCATGTTTAAAACATGCAACATTTAAAGAATTTGTCATGTCAAAACCAAACAGGTTAACAGGGAATTCAAAATGCTACCGCTCTGCAGGGAAGTTTCATGTTGCTCACTGCCTGATATCCTGCACTTATGCAGCTGAAGCAGACTCCTCATCAAAAACTATACTCTTGAGGAAGATGCCCCAGAACCATTTAACGTTCTCACACAACAAGAGGAACGACAACAAAGAGTAAATAGATGAAAGCATCTAACTCTGATTGCTATGAAGGCGTGCCAGCTGCCTCGTTGACTAGTTGTGCAGCAAGGCACAAGAGCTTGGGTACTGCCTGGTACAGGCTAAGGTTCTTTACAACTTGGTCACAAGCAAGAATCCATTTTCGTTTCAGTCTTACCAATGCATTTCTCAGCTAGTTCATCAAGCAACATGTCCAGTGGCTTAGGGGTCCAGTCACGAGTATGAATCTTGAAAATTTCTTTTCTAGCCTGGAAGCAAAATCATTGCATTTTAGCTTGTCCCAAGTTTTCCTTAAAAATACCAACAAGAAACAAACAAACCCTAAAGCAAACAAACAAACAAGAAAAACAGTCCTCCCTCAAAACCCCTCATCTATTAATACGCTTTTCTTACTTGCTCAACTTTCAAGTATTTTACAGTTATTTAATATACACTCTGCATTTTCAACCAGGAAATTTAATATTTCTTATTTGTTATACTGAACTTTTTCTAGGAACCTACAATGAAAGAAAAGGCATTTATAGCTTCAATAACAAGTTTCCAAACTATGAGACCTAATGACCCAGAGGAAAATACTGCAATGAAAAATTTATCCAGAAACATTTCTTTGTTGTCCAAAAAACTTCTCCAAAACTTAGCAAGCTTTCATTGTGACAGTCTCATTACTTCATCACATTTGCTTTTCAGTCAGTAAATTCACAGAAAGTACTTCTGGCACAATGCTTCAAATTGCTACAATTACTATAAAGAAGAAAATAATTATGACTCAAACTACTACCGCTGATTCGGGGCACAATCAAATGCAAACACGTCCCCTATTCATTCATAAGTGAAGGATTGAGACCAAAAACACAACTTCATGATGAAAGCACCCAAGTGGACTAAATAATTAAGTAAACAGGTACAACTTTGGGAATGAAAGGTTTGATTATAGAACTAACTACTTGGTGGTATCATCCTGACCATATAGCACTAACGTTGAATTTAAGTTCTCACCTCCTTATATGGCAAGTTGAAGAGGAACTCTCTGCCAAAGCGTCCTGGTCTTCGTAAAGCAGGATCTATAGAATCCAGTCTGTTGGTAGCTCCAATTACCACGATCTCCCCTCTGTTATCTATGCCATCCATAAGCGTCAGAAGAGTTGAAACAATGGAACTAATAGAAAAATATACTTTTTACTTACTGGTTCAGTATATTTTGTTACATTCCACATGACTTTCTTGATGCCGGAACAACCTTCTTCCTAGTGGTCATTCAAAACTGGGAAAAAAATAGTCTACCAAGTCGTTTTTTTTTTTGATTTGATAATAAATCTGCAGACTGCTAAGTCATCAAGCACTTCAAGACTGTTTGAAATAATCTCTACATTACTACAAAAGGAGTACTGCACACTTCTGCTCAGGAAGAAAATCATGGAAAATGTAAACTTTGATTTTAGATGTTGAATTTGTTGCAGTGAGATCTTCCTCATCGCATGATTCCATTTGGATTTAAACCATATTATCTATGGAGAGACCAAGATTAGGACAAGAACAGCACAGAGTTCAGCATGAAGCCAATCAGGAGCTCAAGTTTGTATTCTTTGTATTCAACTTTATCCTTCTCTTGCTGGAAGGACCTGCTTTTTGACTCTCCTTCTCTTCACTAGGAGCATGTTCCCTCTTGCTTTGGTAATGCTCTTTCTCAGTGTTTTTAGTCTTGTCCTTTGTGTCTTGGCATCTCTCTGTAACAGCTGAGGAGGAAAGGTTTTTAGAGCTACATTCAGCGTCACACTTGAGAGAGGAAGTTTGCCGTAATTTCTCACCAGGCTCAGAAGTCTCTTTGCTGTACAAAATGTTTTCTTTTGAAATGAGGTCACGTTCTTTTGATCTTCTTGGTTTCTCCTTGTCTCCACCGTCATCACATTGGTACTCTGCGAGGTATTCATCATTCCCAGTAAACTTCGAAGGGTCCGCGACACTGCACAAAATAAAATCACATTTCTCACTTCTGCTGAAGGACGTGAAGATTAAGAGTAAAACCTTCCAAAGACAAACAAACAAACAAAAACCTCCGGACTACAGGAACACTCGCAAAGATATGCCATTTAGAAACCTCTCCTGTGATTAGGACACCTTCTTCAGCTCCCAGAGAAAGTGCTTTTTCCCCTCTTGCTTCTCAAGCCATTGCACTAAAAAAGCAAACGCATCTGTCTCCCTCCACATGCTACTCTGAATAAGAGCCAGAATATTCAAAACCACTCTATTTGTTCTCCCCACATAGCCAAAAAAACACCAGTTGAAACAGAGTTTTCTACCTCTCTCCCACGAATTTACATTTACATATCCTATGACTGAAGAGAGCTGTGACTGCTCTCTACAGATACCTTAAAGGAGGCTGTAGTGAGGTGGGGGTTGGCCTGTTCTCCCACGTGCCTGGTGACAGGATGAGGGGGAATGGGCTTAAGTTGCGCCAGGGGAGTTTTAGGTTAGATGTTAGGAAGAACTTCTTTACTGAAAGAGTTGTTAGACACTGGAACAGGCTGCCCAGGGAGGTGGTGGAGTCACCATCCCTGGAAGTCTTTAAAAGGCATTTAGATGTAGAGCTTAGGGATATGGTTTAGTGGGGACTGTAAGCATTAGGTCAGAGGTTGGACTCGATGATCTTGAGGTCTCTTCCAACCTAGAAATTCTGTGTCTCTGTGTGTGAAAGAATAGAAGGCGGGGCTGAGGATGAACAGCCAGTGTTGGAAATGAAAAAAAGCAGCCCGTTTCTTCAGAGTCTTAAGCCTATGCTACTAGGAAAAAAACAAAACAAAACAAAACAAGAGGAGAAGAGAACAACAGCGGGAAATTTACCTATCCTCCAGGTGTTCAATTGCAAAGCCTCCTCTGGAGGATCAACAGCTGTGAACTCAGCGTGCTTAGGAGAAATCAGATCTACATCTGAACCAAAACTATTTCAGAAGTATCACTAACTTATGTTACTCTGAAGAAGCAGTCAGCACCATTTCTATGTTAGGAAATAGCTGAACAGAGTCTGTGTCCTGGTTTCAGTTAGCACAGAATTAATTTTCTTCCTAGTAGCTGGTGGAATGCTGTGTTTTGGCTTAGGATGAGAAGAGTGCTGATAACACCCCGATGCTTTAATTGTTGCAGAGCAGTGCTTATACTAAGCCAAGGACATCTCAGCCTTTTGCTCTGTCCTGCCAACGGGCAGGCTGGGGGTGCAGTAAGAGCTGGGAGGGGACAGACCCAGGACAGGTGACCCAAACTAGCCAAAGGGGTATTCCATACCATCTGACGTCATGCTAAGCAATATATAGGGGTGGCTAGCCGGGGGGAGGGGGCGGGACTGCTCGGGGTTAGGCTGGGCATCGGTCAGCGAGTGGTGAGCAATTGCATTGTGCATCACTTGTTTGTACATACTATTACTACTTTCCTATTATCACCATTGTATTATTATTGTTATTATTTTATTATTATTTTGTTATTATTATTTTCCTGTCTTATTAAACTGTCTTTATCTCAACTCACGGGCTTCACTTTCCATTTCTCTCCCCCGTCCCAGAGAGGGAGGGGGGAGGGTGAGCGAACGGCTGCGTGGTGTTTAGCTGCCGGCCGGGTTAAACCACGACAGTCTGTTATTCACATGAAGGAGTCAGGCAGGTTTCTTTAGGAAGGCTGGACTTCACTAGAACATTACTAACCTGTAAGCCTCATGGCATCACCTTCCATCTTGACTACTAAACCTCCTTGCTCCCTACTATTTTCTTTGCCAAGATACAGCTGTCCACATTTACTTTTCCTACTTGGCTGGACTGAATTTAAGAAGGTATCTTGCATCTAAGAAAGGGAACAAAAGCTGCTGCCCAGCAGTGTCTGGGTCAGGGAGGAGTGAGAAAGCTCTGTGCAGCCCCCAAGGTCCGTGCAGCAGGAGGCAGGAGGTGCTCCAGGCTCACAGCAGCAGTTCCCCTGCGGCCTGTGCAGGGAGAGCCCCCGCAGGAGCAGGCTGTCCCCCTGCAGCCCATGGGTCCCCCGTGGAGCAGATCTCCACACTGCAGCCCCCCTGTGGGTGGAGGAGCCCCCGGTGGAGCAGGTGGCTGTGGCCTGGAGGAGGCCACGGCCTGTGAAGAGCCCCCGCAGGAGCAGGCCCCCTGGGCTGGACTGGAACAGGCTGTGCTGAGCCTGCTTTGCCCGTGATGCTCCTTGTGGAGTGATCTCCATGTTCTTCTGGCAGCCCTTGAGCCCTTTCCAGCCTCTTTTCTCCCCTTGGCGTTTGAGGAGGGGCAGGGAGAGAGCGCTTGTGCTGGAGCTCAACTGCCCAGCTGAGGAAAACCACCACGGCTCTCTCTTGCCGCTGCTGCAGCACGCTGCTAGCAGCCAGCACCGTCTGTTCTTCGAGCCTCAGCAAGCCCACAGCATCTTCCTTGAAGGGATCCCTTTCCTTCACGCCTGACAGGCGCCGCCTCCAGAGGCTGAGGGCTTGTGCCCCGTTTGCAAGCGCTTTCTCAGTGCCCCCTTCCCCAGAGAAGGATCCCAGCTGCTTG